GTAACAAAGTAAAATTTATATAGAGTTTTATTAGATATAAAAATTTTTATATATGATCGTGTATATCAAATTCATAGACTTCTTGATTAAATTTCGGTTTCAAATTCGGCATCGCAAACAAGTGTGACTTTCAACGAGTTGAGTAATACATTTTAGGTAGCCACGATCGTGTGATCGCGTCGATAGAAATACATTAAAACGGTTCGATATCATGCGTCAGTGGAACGATATTAGTTTACAAACAACGCCAATCTCTCACGCGCTCGCGCTTGCTCGGGGAATATTTCAGATCAAATATATATTTTACGTCCTTGATTATTCTCGTCTTCATAAAACTCACGTTCCGATGTATTTATAAGACTTTTATCAAAAATCGAAAGAAAAAAGAAACATGAAAAAAAAAAAACGAAAAAAAAATGTGTTTATTGGAAAAATTTAACAGCTACGTAATAAAATAAAAAGTACATATCGGGAAAATAAATATTAGCGTTATTCATGACAAATTGACAACACTATCGCTGGCGAGAGATATCGAAACGAGATTGATTTTTGTAATGTATAAATATATGCAGTCTCTCTGCAATAATTTGCGCGTTTAATCATTTTATTGTTAGAATCGTATTGTAAGCACGATATTTAAACTTTCGATTTTCTATTACGCTCGAAACTATGTTTAAAATTATTCACACATAATTCGCGAACGAAAGAAAATTGGAGTAATAGCGAAACCTAGTATTAAACGTTCCATGCACGCGGAGCGTAAATAATTGCTGCAATCTGTATTAATAGCAGTAATTTATTTGAAATCTCAAGGAGCGTGAATCTACAATTTCCATCGTGATGCTTTCTGACATTAACGAGCATTTAAAAATTAACCGGGTCGTGCTTTCCGTTTTTATCAAATCTACATTATAGCGTTTTATTACTAAAAAAAAATTACCGATTTTTTTTTTTTTTGGAAAAATCATTAAATTGATCAGGAAATCATAGTCGCGAAGTTTAGTAACTTCGCATTAGTCGGATCTAGTACAGAAATAAAACGCGCGGTTGATTTCTAAATGCATGCTATAATTAACCAAAAGTAATTACGTAAATGTGGATGATGACGGAGACCTCCTATATCTCCTGTATATCCAACATACTTAATTTTTCTAGGTCATTAGTAGTAGTGACTATATTTGATTACTCTTTCGGTGATTCTCTATGTGAGATGATTGTATTTAATGCTTTCACATATTTTTAATTCGTTTTTTTAATTCGAACTTTATGACATTAGAGTTTACAGTTTTTATCTATCTATGCGCGTTTTATATTCCTGGATATTTAATGTATAATTGCCATCGTAAATTATTATCTACCGGTTCGCGTGTTAGTCGTGAGTGAAATTTATATAAATTTATCAAATTCACGCGCGAGACTCATATCTATCTATCATATGAGAACAGAAGCTCTCTCTCGTTCCCCGCGATTTTGATTCGCGCGAATTTACATGAACGCGTAAATTTTCGGAAACGTGCTTTCTAATCGTACCGATAAACATATAGTCGAGAATACCCGAGAGAATGTACATGTGCAAGTGAGTAAGCGTCTGATAATTTCGGTGCAACAGGAGAGAGTAACACCGGGAGAGATGTGTCGCGACGCACACATACACACATTGTTAGATATAGGTAAAGGTGTAAACGGTTCTATGAACTTATGTATGTGCGTTATCAGTGGCGCGTCGACGCTGCCTACGAGACGCGAGGAAAAAAGATACGGAGGATGTGCGTGGATGTGAGTAGGAGTGTGGAACGGAGATAAAGAGGAAAGAGCGGCGAAAGGGAGAGAAAGATAGAGACTCGCGTGGAATCGCGAAAGGGTAAAGGTAGGGGCCCGGAGGGGGAGATTCGCGGTGTGCACGAACGACGCAAGGGCGGGGATTCCCCCTTCGGCCAATCGGATCGACTAGCGAATGCGCTCACCTACGGTTCTCGCTGCTCGTTCACCTGCAGACGCCATGTCGTGACGTCACGTCTCATTACGACGGGCCCCGGCGTTTGCGGCGAAGCCGCATTGTCGTCTAACGGCGGGTATCGCGCACGCGTGTCCTTGATCGAGGAGATTGTTCGCGAAATTTGTCGTTTCGAATTTTCATTTTAATGCCTAAAATTGTTATTGTATCACGAGCATTTCCTACGATATATTTTTCTTTCTCGGATATTATTTTCCAATTTTCTCCTATTTTCAATCTTAATTTTTTCATGTTTATGGACTCTAAGAATTTCGATAGATTAATTTATAGAAGAGTTGAACTTTTGCTTTGTATTTCAAATAGGCAGTAAAGAATAGTTTTCCACATTTAGAAATTTAAAAAAAGACCTCTCGGCAAAGTTATAGATAAAGTTATAGATAAATTTCAAGAATGTTCCGACTGTTTAAAATATCAAAGTAGATGTTAGATTAAAAATTGAGATAGAGAAAAATAGAAAAAAAATTTTGCCTCGGCTTAATGCGAAAAATTAATAATCAATCTTATCGTGATTTCAATTAATTTTTATTAATCTTTGCTATTCCTTATCTTTCTTAAATGATATACACAATGCATATTGTTCTATTACAATTGTTCGATTGTTGACTAAAAATATTGAGAAAAAAATCTTTTACCGTTGATACATTCTTAAATCACGTACCTTCGATGATTCGTGCATTCAAAATGGTTGAACGATTTCTTAATGGAAGATAGAAATGGCATTGGAAAAATAATTCTGCCGATGCATTCTTTGGAACCCTTTCAAATATTTCGACATTCGGTTTTTCAAAGATATATACAATGAAATCTATTATGCCGAGGTGAAAGAGAAACGGAACATGGAACCTTGACGGATTCATGGGGAGCTGCGAACTGCTCTATTATTCGCTTTTACGATAGGCCCAATAAAGATCTTATAATTAGATTTTGGAAGTAATATTCTGACCAGGCCCTAGAACGGCCGGACTACACGAAGGTCAAGCCGAAAATTGCGAGGGCCAATCGCTCGTTTCTCTCTTTTTAAGGATGCATCCGTAAAATCGAATCGAACCAAAGCGAGCAATAATTTTCTTTAGGAGAAATCGACTCTACAAAGACACGCATTCGT